TTATCCAACTCAAAAGTATTGTTTTAAGGTTCATTATAAAACAATGTATTATAGTGAAAGCATTTATTGAAAAATAAAAAAAGAGACAAATAAACTTTCAAACATAAACCTTTCTCAGTACAAAAATAAAAATTAAACTTTCTCAGTACAAAGATAAAAAAATACCTTCTCAGTATAAAAATAAATAGCTAATAATTTTTCGGTAACAACATAAAGTAAAAGTTCTTAATAATAATATCTCAGTCTATCACATTTTTATGATTCTTGAAGAGATTTTATGTCATAAAACTTATCGTGGGTCATTTCGACAACTTTGTACCGATTTCCCGTTTTCTTGACTGAGCGAATCAAAGTGCGGTATGTCTCTGGTGTGTAAATTGGTCCAGATTTTAGGTGTCTTTTAATTTGTCTTTCAATGACACTGCACATTATCACCTTCATTTTGCGAGTGACCACGTATAAGAAATTTATGTGTAATAGATTTGACTTTTAAATTAATGACCGCATAAGCATAGATTGACAAAATGTACTTATTTTTCTGTTGACCGCCACAATTATCAGAGTAAAAAATAAGATCTATTTCTTTTTCCGGATCCTTTTCAATTTGAGTTTCTATATAGGCAAGGATGCAGGTACCAATTTCTACAGCTCTTCGAGATCCCTCAGTCTCGTCCCAAAAGTAGCAAGTAACGTCTTTTGCATTCAGGTCGCTGACAGTAAAATTCAGGCAATTAATCCTTGATTTGTAAAAAAACATAGATATTTGTCCTTTTAGGACTTGCATAACAGCTTGTCAGTCATAAACTGCTACTATTGTACTGTCTGTTCTGCTTTTGTTCATCTCTTTTTTTGTTCTTGCCAATGTCTTCTCTTGAAGGTGGTCTTCATATTTTTGGCATAGACGTTGCTTTTCTTCCTCATTGGCATTCTTGTAGCTCTCACATAGGTCACATTGATCCTTTTTGGGGATAAAAAATGAAATATTAAATTCGGAGTTGAATATTCTGTAGAATGTTGAGGCAGTGGCAAATGGTAAGTTTTTATGTTCACGGTCAGATTTATAATCTCGGTATAAGTCTACAAGAGATTTGTCACTGCAAATATATTCTCTAGTAGTCTGGGCACGAAGATAATGTGACTCTATTCTTGGTATTGAATTGATAAAGTCTATAACGCTTTGCTTTACTTGTTGA